TTTTCTTTAAGGATATCGAATATTGGCCCCCACTCTCTTCTGGCTTGTAGGGTTTCTGCCAAGAGATCTGCTGTGAGTCTGATGGGCTTCCCTTTGTGGGTAACCCGACCTTTCTCTCTGGCTGCCTGTAGCATTTTATCCTTCATTTCAACCCTGGTGAATCTGACCGTTATGTGCCTTGGGGTTGCTCTTCTTGAGGAATATCTTTGTGGTATTCTCTGTATTTCCTGGATTTGAATATTGGCCTGCCTTGCTAGGTTGGGGAAGTTTTCCTGGATAATATCCTGAAGAGTATTTTTCAGCTTGGATTCATTCTCTCCGTCACATTCAGGTACACCTATCAAACGTAGATTAGGTCTTTTCACATAGTCCCATATTTCTTGGAGACTTTGTTCATTCCTTGTTACCCTTTTTTCTCTAATCTTGCCTTCTCATTTTATTTCATTGAGTTGATCTTCAACCTCTAATATCCTTTCTTCTGCTTGGTCAATTAGGCTGTTGAAACTTGTGCATGCTTCTCGAAGTTCTAGTGTTGTGTTTTTCAGCTCCGTCAATTCACTTATATTCCTCTCTAAGTTGTTTATTCTCATTAGCATTTTGTCAAATCTTTTTTCAAGGTTCTTAGTTTCTTTGCATTGGGTTAGAACATGTTCTTTTAGCTCAGAGGAGTTTCTTATTACCCACATTCTGAAGCCCGATTCTGTCAATTCATCACACTCATTCTCCATCCAGCCTTGTTCCCTTGCTGGTGAGAAGTTGTGATCCCTTGTAAGAGGAGAGGCATTCTAGTTTTGGGTGTTTTCATTCTTTTTGCACCGGTTTCTTCCCATCTTTTTGGATTTATCCACCTGTTGTCTTTGTAGTTGTTGACTCTCAGATTGGGTCTCTGAGTGGACATCCAGTTTGTTGATGATGAAGTTATTTTTTTTTAATTAAAAATAATATATACCTCGTGATCCACCCACCTTGGCCTCCCAAAGTTCTGGGATTATAGGCGTGAGCCACCATGCCCAGCCAATGATGAAGTTATTTCTTTCTGTTGCTTAGTTTTCCTTCTAACATTCAGGCCCCTCTGCTGTAGGACTCCTGAGGTCCACTCCAGGCCCTGCTTGCCTGGGGGCCACCTGCAGCGGCTGCAGAACGGTAAGGGTTGCTGCCAGTTTCTTCTGCTCTTTGTCCCAGAAGGATACCTGCCAAATGTCAGTCTAAGCTCTCCTTTATGAGGTGACTCTTTGGATATACAGGGGTCAGGGAGCTGCTTGAGGAGGCTGTCCTTTATAGGAGCTCAATTGCTGAGCTGTGAGCTCCGTTCATTCAGAGCTGCTGGGCAGGTACGTTTAAGTCTGCTGCAGCAGAACTCGTAACCCCCCCACCTTTTTTTCCCAGGTGCTCTATCCCAGGGAGTTAGGGCTTTATTTATAAGCTTCTGTCATGCCGCTGCCTTTTTTCAGGGCTGTCCTGCCCAGCGAGGAGGCAGCCTAGTCACTGTCTGCCTGCAGAGGCTTTGCTGAGCTGCTGTGGGCTCCACCGAGCTGCCGTGTGAACTTCCCTGCAGTCCTGTTTATACGGGTATAGTTAGAACTGCCTCGGCAATGGTGGCCCACCTCTGTAGTGGCGGACTGTCTCGGCAATGGCGGGCTGCCTCAGCAATGGCAGACTACCTCCATAGTGGTGGACTGCCTTGGTAATGGTGGACCCCCCTCCCCCGCAGAGCTGGACCCTCCCAGGTTCAGCTGTGCTTGCTGTGAAATTCTCAATCCAGAGCATTTCGATTGCTGTTTTTTTGTGGGGGTGGGAACAGCCAAGCCTGATCACCTGGCTCCCTGCCTCAGACCCCCTTTTTTTTTTTTCAGTTGAACGGGTGACTCTGTCTCCAAGGTGTTCCAGTTGCCTGTTGAAAAGGTGCTGGGATCTGTGTGGTTTCCCGTGTGGCAACCCACTGCGCCAGCTCAAACAGCCACCCTGAGATTCATGGCACTTTTTATGTCTGGGAGTCTCCTGGCCTGGCTCTCTGTTTCAGTCCCCTTTTTTATCAGTTGAATGAGCGACTCTGTCTCCCAGGCACTCCAATCACCAGCTAAAACGGTGCCCGGACCCATGTATTTTGTACAGATACCCACCACGCCCAGGGCGCCAGCCAAAACAGCCGCACTGGCGACCTGTGGGGCTCCTCCACCTGCAATCTCCTTGTCTGTGGGCAATAAAAATTTGTCTGTAAATGTGGCATCCACTCACTCTCCGCACTTTCACTGGGAGCTGCAATCCTGAGCTGCTCCTAATTGGCCATCTTGGATCTGTCCTCCTGCATGCTATATTTTTATTTTTTTTTGAGACAGAGTTTCGCTCTTGTTACCCAGACTGGAGTGCAATGGCGTGATCTCGGCTCACTGCAACCTCCGCCTCCTGGGTTCAGGCAATTCTCCTGCCTCAGCCTCCCGAGTAGTTGGGACTACAGGTGTGCGCCACCATGCCCAGCTAATTTTTGTATTTTTAGTAGAGACGGGGTTTCACCATGTTGACCAGGATGGTCTTGATCTGTTGACCTTGTGATCCACCTGCTCAGCCTCCCAAAGTGCTGGGATTATAGGCATGAGCTACCGTGCCCAGCCTTTTTTTTAATGTCTTTTGTACATAACAGCAGGGCTTTAGCCTCTGTGTTTTCCTTGTTTTTAATTTCTCCTTTTATCTTGTGGGTATTACAGAGGTAGGTTTTAAAAGTTTTTTTTTAATTTAAATATGAAGAAAATTCTTAAAATATAGTTTCTACTCTCCAGAAATGTACAGTGTAGTAAAGGAGGCAAGGTACATTTACAAAAGAGTTAAGTAACAATATTAAGTAGTAAATGATTAAGACTGCAAATAATTAGTTGCCTGTGAGACCACTTTTTAGCTATATAAGTGGGCAAGATGGCTAATGTCTCTAAGCATCAGTTTCCTCATCTGTGTAATGAAGATAGTGATACCAGTTCTGCTTAGAGTATTCTATTGATAATCTGGTGAGATACTGTATGTTTATATAATTAAAGGTTATAAGGCGATAAATATGAGTTTATTATGATTTATAGTATTAAAGCTTATGATCCAGTAGAGAAGAAAGAACATCCTGCTTAAAATATTTATAAGCTTTTTCTGGGGTGATATTTCTTTATCGGTTATCAAAAAAATCACTTTGGCTTTGGGTTGTTAGGCTCCTGGAGTTACTTTTCAATTCTTAATTTGTTCTCCATATTCATCCTTTGGAAAGTTCTGAGTTTCAGAAACTGTTTTCCTTTGTTTTTCAGATTTGCTACCACATACTGTCCTTGGCTTTTTGTACCCAAAGACCAGCCAAAATATAGGAATATAATTTTCTCTGCTTAGTTTCTGTTAGCTATCTCTCCAGAATGAGCGTAGGTTGTCCATTTTTTAAGGTTTTACAACTAAAGGGGAAATAGAGTATAATAAATATGGGAACTTATCTTCTAAAATCTTACGTGGTTTCCAAAAAGTTCTGTGATGGCTCTGATTTCTTTTCTCAGGTGGGGCCCAAAAGCACATACCCTCATCTCTCTTGTAATTCTTAAGTTTAGAAAATTTTCCCTCTTCCCACTTCTCTACCTTTTTCTAGTTTACTTAGATTTATTCTTCCTTAGCCTTTTACCTTTTGTGACAACAAAGTCAGATTTTCTTTCTTAGAAATTTAGGTCATCCTTTGTAATTCATCTTCTTCCATTGTTACTACAAAATCTAGAACTTCATTTAAATTTTCAGAGAATCTCACTAAAAAGGATTGTGGAAATTACCTCATGAGCTTAGGTCTCTTCTTTTGGCAATAGGTACATTCATAATATAAGAAGAGGAAATAAATTAACATATAAAAACTCTTCTGGGATAGTATCTTTTATTCTTGTTTTATGATTATTGCTAAGAAATTTATAATCTAGTTGTTAATGTTTTTAATCATTTCTAGAGTTAATTAAAATTTTTCTACTTGTGTATACTTAGTGATAAGACTATGTGAAATTCAAGAAGACTTCAGTTTATTTTCTTAAGGTATTTAAATCCATAAGGTTAGAGCTACAGAGAAGATCTGTACAAGAAGGGCCTGTTACTGTTTGCTTATTTGGGCAGGTTGTGTCTTTTATATTAGTTCCTACTTAGGGACTGCTTATTTTATTCTAATTCCTTGTTACATATTAGGAGTCAGGAAATAAATTTAAATGAGGAAAAGAACAGAATAAAAAGAATATAGAGATCTTTTAGGGACCTCTGAGGCTCTCTCCAGCAATCATTGAAGACTATATAAATCCCCTTTTGATGGAATTTTGAAAATATTATCACAAATAGGCCCCAGCTCTAGGTCCTCTGGCACTGATACATTAATTTTTTGGTTTAGTTTCATTGTTCAAATATGTGAGAGATGGCTGTATTTTGGTTTCAGTTATTTAAACTTCATGATAGAAGTGAAATAATCATCAGTAACTTTAAAAAAATATGTTACTAGATATTCTTATTATCTAGTCATGAATTTACATAATCATAAACAAATTAATCTCTACTTGAAATTTTCTTTTAAATTCACTCTTTAAATGTTATAAATTAATGAAGTACAAGGCAATGCATAAATTGTGTGGTGGTAAAGTTCGAGTTTTTTAGGTTATTTATCACCCAAATAATGTATATTGAACCCATTAAGCAATTTCTCATCATCTACCTTTCCCACACCCTGTAACCCTTCAGACCTAGACTAATGTCCAAAAAAGTTTTCTGTAGGTTCTCTTCTAGTATTTTTAGTTTCCAGTCTTAGGATTAAGTCTTTGGTGTATCTTGAGTTGATTTTTGTGTATGGTAAGAGATAGGGGTCCAGTTTCATTGCCCTCCATATGGCAATCCAGTTTTTCCACCACCATTTTTTAAAAATTGTGTCCTTTTCCCAAGGTATGTTTTTATCAACTTTGTCAAAGATTAGTAATTGTATGTATGTGGTTTTATTAAATTCATTTTACTCTTTTTCTTTTCAGCTACATTAACAAGCTATTCTGAAAACATGGAACGTACAAAATATGCTGGGGAAAGCAGTAAAGAATTAGGATCTGGAGGAAACATAAAACCTTGGCAATCTCAAAAATCCAGCATGGACTCCTGTTTGTATCGAGTAGATGAAAACATGACTGCTTCCACCTACAGTCTGAATAAGATCCCAGAGAGAAATTTGGAAACAGTGTTATCTCAATCAGTACAGTCTATTCCTTTGTATCTCATGCCAAGGCCAAATTCAGTAGCAGGTAAGGTTGTTTTTGTTGTTGTTCTTGTTAATCATTTTACTCCAGTATATATTGAAATGAAAATAAATGCTGCACTGATAGCATTTAAATTTTCCATTTATGTTTTTTGACTAAGCTGTTCTTTTGTGTTTGAGCAATATACATATATATTATTTAAATCGGGGGGAACGTTCATCTTCCCCAATGACTGCTTAGTTCTGCTCCCAAAGTATACATAAAAATTCAGAAACAGCCTATAAAATATATCATCAAACTACTGAATGTCTTTTCTCTCAATCAAAAGTCTTTGAAGGAATTTTAGTTTGAGGTTTTGTTTTCTTAAAATGTTAGTATCAAAAAACATTACTAAGATAGTCATATCTCAGTATAATTTATATTATCAGAAATCATCATCCATAGTTTATAGAAGTGGAAGGCAGGCAAAAATTCAGCTTTTCCTTATCCCATGAGTTCAGTATTTTCACAGTATCCTGGCTATTATTTTATGGAAGAATCACCAGGTGGCTATATTTCTAAAGAATAACTCTGGCTGGGCATGGTAGCTCACGCCTGTAATCCTAGCACTTTGGGAGGTTGAGGTGGGCGGATGACAAGGTCAATAGATTGAGACCATCCTGACCAACATGGTGAAACCCCTTTCTACTAAAAATACAAAAATTAGTTGGACTTGGTAGTACGCTCCTGTAGTCCTAGCTACTCGGGAGGCTGAGGCAGGAAAATCACTTGAACCCATGAGGCAGAGGTTGCAGTGAGCCAAGATTGCACGACTGCACTTCAGCCTGTCAACAGGCAAGACTGTCTCAAAAAAAAAAATAGAATAACTGCGACACCACTAGCAAACTCAGTGATTAAAAAAAAATGTATCAGTCCGTTTTCACACTGCTATTAAGATACTACCCAAGACTGGCAGCTGATGGTGTAATGCTTCTTGCCATTCCCATTTCCCTTTCCTACCTCTTCTTTGTTCTCTGGGAGACCCATAGAACAAAGACCCATTGTATCTGTAATCAGGTATGATTATAGGGAAATGGCTCATCTTAAAGATGAGTAGCTACAGAAGATTTTAATACTCATTTCTAAAGATTATTCACTTTTATATGGTGACAGGAAATTTTTTATCCTAGGACATTTTAAATATGTTGATTCCCAACTACCATGTCATATTGGAATCCTAGAATGCTGTTGTACTAGTCCATTTTTACACTGTCCTAAAGAAATACCTGAAACCAAGTAATTTTTAAAGAAAAGAGGTTGAATTGGATCACGGTTCTGCATGCTGTACGGGAAGCATAGTGGCTTCTGCTTGGCTTCTGAGGAGGCCTTAGAGAGCTTTTAATAATGGCAGAAGGCACAGTCAGGGTGGGTAGCGGGTGGAACAAGCACCTCACATGACCAGAGCAGGAGGAAGAGCAGGAGGGGGAGGTTCCACACACTTTTAAATGAACAGTTCTCTTGAGAACTCACTATTACAAGAACAGCAAAGGGGAGGTCCACCCCATGAGCCAGTCACTTCCAACACTGGGGATTACAATTCAACATGAGATTTGGGAAGGGAAACAGATCCAAACCATATCAGGTATAAATTATGAGAAGTTCCAGGCAAGTTGAGTCTTTTCCAAAAAGAAGCATATAGATCCTTGCTCATATATAAATAGGGAAATGTAACTACCAACCATAGGAAGTATGTTCCAACTTACTTCCTAAGTTCCAATGCTTTCTAAGAAAATTCTGGCTCTATTATCTGTGAAAGGCACTGAACACTTAATAGAAGACAGAGAAGCTTTGTTTCAGAGTGGAACTATGTAGTCAGGCTGAATGAACAATGTTAATTCAGGGTATGAGTCTTAATCACTACTTAACATTAACATTCTGTGTTACCGTCTTCCTCCTACTTACTCCCTATTATATTTTATGTGTATCCCTTAGAACCTTTTTTAACTGTATTAATCAAGGACCTTCTCATTTGTTTAAAAGTGACTCAGCTCTTCCTCAGGCTTCCCTTAGCCCCAAGTGTACCCAGAAACTGTTCTACTTCCCTATTAGCCAAGTGCTCCCTCCCTAGTTGTATCCTGTACCTTCACAGCAGTGCCACAGCTGAACAGACCATGGGAAGAGAATGGAAAAAGCAAGCTGGTTAATGTAATATTTTGCTGTTGGTCTCAGAAAGCCATCAGGACCACATGTAACTAACCACCAGACAGTAATAAGCTCTGAGGCAACTACCAAACCATCTCCATCTAATTCCTAGCCGCCTTCCCAGGCTGAACTCAAATACTTTCTCCAATCATCTCCCAGCCACAAGTAATTGCTTCTTCTTCTAGACTCTCCTAGTACTTTGTATGTTTCTCTTTTTGTGTTGGCAACAGTCTACTTTGTATTATATGCAGCTGTTGTGTATATATGTTGGTCTGACTGCTAGAATCGAAACTTTTGACATTAGCAACTGAGAAGAGTCCAGTAGAGGCTCCATAGTTGCTGGTTGAGTGAAATGAATGAATATATGCATGAAGCAACCAATCTGTGATATCAGCTTTAAACAAAAATAACAATGTGGTTAGTAAATCTAATGGTAATTTTCTTCATCTTACTATAGGATATAGTCTTCGCACAGGAGAAATTACCCAGAAAAAGGTGGGGGGTGGGGCTTATTTAGAGAAAGTAAGCTCTATATAAGCTGTTAGTATGAGCTAGTCAGAAAACAATTTTGGACTTACTAGTATCTCAGAATCTTATTTCTTCAAAATTATAAACTGTAGTTCTCTTTAATGTATGGAACGTATAAAGAACATTTATCACTATCTGCTAACAACTGGCAATATATATTTTTCAGTGGTTAATCAGAAGCCTTTATTCAATTAGCAATGTAGTAGTGTTGGGGAAAAAAATGGAGATCTTAAGATATTTCTATTTCTCTAACATAGTAGTCAGCAAACCAGGGCCCATGGGCCAAATTTGGCACACTCTGTTTTTGTAAATAAAGTTTCATAGCAGCAAAACCACACACATTTATTTTCTTATGGTTGCTTTGCTCTACCACAACAGAGTTCAGTAGTTGCAACAGAGATCATAAGTTCTACAGTTAACATTGTAGTGGCCTACAAAGCCTATTAAAAAGGGCAATCCCAACCTTCATTCTAAAAACTTATCCTGGCATTTGATTCATTTGGCCCAAGTCACCCCTCAGCTATACATCTCAGCTGTACAGGTCATAAACCGTGTTAGCTGTGCATAGGGACAGAAACTGTTTTAGACTTTATGAAAAGTTTCATGTGTTTCACATGACTTCATGAATTACATAGAGAATCAGAAATGTGTCAAAATTCCATGAGAGGACATTGTTACTCAGCTATACTGATACTAGTTAACAAAGACACTAAAAGGATTTGAAAGAGAAAAAAGCTGAAATTTGCCCTTACATTTTGTTTTGTTTTTAAAATGCACTTAGCTAGACTCATATTCAGTGTGGGACGTAGTAAATTGGTCACCTGCTTGAGTCTGGAGCCCTCATTTCCAAATTTAGGAATTTTCATTTTGGTGGTGGTGAAGTCTTTTAATGCGTTTGTTCTCATCTTCTCTTGACCTCTCTTGAATTTATTAAAAAGAATGTAAGATTACTCTTCTTGAACAGACATATCTCTAGATTCATTATTTTACCCTATAAAAATGCTAACTGTAGAGCCTATGAAATGATGTCTAGGACTCCTGTACTCCTATAAAAGCCAGATAAGCTTTTTCTCTCACTGTCTGTAAGGCTAACACTACTGTAAACAAAAAATATGGAAGGAAAATAAAGAGCCCCTCTCCTCTCTACACCTAATATCTCTCTCCAAAGATTAATATTTCTTTGGAGAGAATTATGATTCTTCATATCTATATATAAATCTATACATACAACATTATATCTATATGTGATATATAATCATATGTACCTATGCAGTCAACCCTCTGTATCTGTGGTTCCAAATCCACAGATATGGATGGCCAACTAAAAGGGACTTGAGCCTTTGCAGATCGTGGTATCAACTAGGGGTTCTGGAGCTAATTTCCTGCAGATACCTAGTGACGACTATATTTAATTATAATATATGTAAGAGAGTTCTGAGGTCGAAAAATCAATGGGAGTTATTCAAAAGAAATGAAAGCATATGATCTTAAAATTACATACATAAATGATCATAACAACCTTATTTGTAATAACCAAAAATTGTGAACATCCCAAATGCCCATCAATAGGTAAACAGATAAAAAAAATTAATTATATATCAATACAATGGAATTCTACTCAGCTATAGAGGGAAATAAATTATGGATACCACAGCAACATATATGAATATCTAAATATGCTATTTGAATGAAGCCAGATTTTTTAAATATACTATATGATTCCATTTGTTTAAAATCCTAGAAAATGCAAACTAATCTGTAGGCACAGATTGTCTCTCTTATAATGCAACCATCTACAAGTACAGGTGTCATCTAGACCTCTTGTGTCGCCCTGTGGGAATTAGGGCTCAGGGAGGTAGCACAAATGTTGATCCTCTGGCTACTGCTGTTGCTCTGAGTAATAACTGTCTTTCATCTCTTACCCAGAAGTTTCATATCTTTTTCCAGCATTGAAGCTTGTTAGTTTACAGATTCTTCACAGTTCTTGACAATGAGATATTGCTATACCCAAACCCACAAAATTAAAAGACATGGCAATGCCGAGCAACAATAAAAATGTTGCAATTTAAATTATACATTGATGGTGGGAGTGTGTTAATAAGTTGATACTCCATTTTGTAAAGTTGTGTGATAAAAATCTATTAAAGGTTTATCAAGCTATATATGCATGTTATCTATAACCTAGCAATTCCATTCCTGGATAGAATGCCCATGAGAAATAAGTGCTTTTGTTTACAAGAACACAGATAAAGTTTTATCAGTTTTATTCATAATACCTAAAAACCGAAAAACATTCACATATCCATCACCAGTGAAACTGATAAATAAATTGTATA